ATGAGAAGTGTATATAATTTTGGAAATGAATGCAGATGAGTACATTAATGTTTTGAATTATAAAATCTAATTTTGTTGTTTATTACTAATATATTATAGTAGATAGTTCTGATTGTTCTTTATTAAAAGATTAAAAGAATAATTCTTTCAGTTTATATTCTATGGCATCACAATTAATATCAGAGTATAGTTGTTGAAAGAATTGATTATTACCAGAGCTATAAAAAATTGATTGTGTCGGGTAATAATCAATTCTTTCAACAGGAAAAAAGTTGAAAAGGTAAGCTACCCATTCTACCCGACACAATCATAAAAATTTGATTATTACCAGCTCATTGTACTTCTACAGGAAAAAAGTCATTTTCCGGTGGACATTTTCGTCGGAAAAATGGCCAAAATCCGTCAGAAAATAGCATTTCTGGCGGATTTCCGGCGGAAATTTTTGCGCCGGTTTCACGCGCGTCGTAAAAGGACTTCCGGCGCAAAATAATGCGTCGGAAATATTTCCGGCGCATTTCCGACGAAATTTCCGCTTGAAAAATATTTCCGTCGAAATTTTTATACGCCGGAAATTTTATGCAAAAAAAAAAAATTCAATTACACAACAGCTGCAGCTGCCTCCTTAATGCGCGCTCCACCACAGGCCCCAGCCCGCCAGACGCGACCAGACCGACTGCAAGCCGGTCCAACCAGCCCAGACCCGCCTGCTTGCCCGCGGACAAGCCCATGTGCTCAGCGGGATTCGAACCCCGCCCTCCCCTACCGCCTTCAACCCTTCTACCACCTAGTCATGAAACCAAAATCTGTTAATTAGGTTACTTTTTTTTATTTAACCTATTAGAGACGTCATTTTTAAAATTTGTTAATTGAATTTAACAAAAAACTTAAAAATTAATTAACTTAAAATAAAAAATATTTAGAAAATCCGCCGGAATTTGCGACGAATTTATTTCCGCCGGAAAATCTGTCGGAAATGAGCTGTTTTCCTGTAATGGAAGCCAATCTTGTTCTGTCTGCTATGGCTAGAGATATGCGTAGAGAATCTGAAATGTTCTTCTGCTTGATCTGAAATGGCCTCTGAAATTCTGAGGATTTTCAATGCTAAGAAGGACAACAAGTTTTTTTGTGCCAAGTTAGACATTAAAAAAGCATTCGACACTGTATCCCGTGACTTTCTTATTCAAAGGCTCAAGGTGAAAGGTTTCCCTGATAAGTTTATATCTTGGATCAAGGGCTGCATTATGGATATCCCCTTCTCTATCAGTATCAATGGGGCCTTGGAGGGTTTCTTCAAATCCTCTTCTGGCCTCCGACAAGGGTGCCCTTTATCCCCTTTACTTTTCGTTGTCGTTATGGACGCTTTCTCTTGCTTGCTGGATAGTGGCAATTTCAAAGGCATTGCTTGTGATTCTTTGGTTTTTAGTCACTTGCTTTATGCTGACGACGTCCTGATTTTTGGTGAGGCAACTTTACAGAATGCAAAAAATCTTAAAGACACTCTTCACTCTTTTGCTGCCTTTTCTGGCTTATGCATTAATGAGAACAAGTGTTCTATACTTTGCTCCTCTCATACGGGGAATGCTGATGCTATTTCTAATTTCCTTGGCTTCTCTTTAACTATCAACTCCTTCAATTACTTGGGCCTCCCAATTTCCACAAAAAATCTAACTGCCGCTCACTTCCAACCACTACTGAGTAAACTTTCTACTCTACTTTCTGGTTGGAAAGTTAAGTTCTTGTCTTTTGCAGGTAGAGTGCAATATTTGAAGTTCACTATTGCTAATACGATCGCTTATTGGATTAGGGGAGCTATTCTTATTGAAAAACTGTTCCAAAACTATTGATAAATTATGCTCTAAGTTCCTTTATCATGGATCCATTTCGGAAAAGAAGCTTCATACTATTGCCTGGAAGAAAACTTGTCTTCCTACTGAGGTTGGGGGGCTGGGCATCCCGGACATTCAATCACTTTATTTTGCTTTCAACTGCACTTTCATTTGGAGGTTTTACACTACTAACTCCTTGGTTGCTGACTGGTTTAGATTAAACCATACTTCCCCTTGGAAGCCAGCATCTGCTAAAGCCTCCAAATTCTGGAAAAATTTATGTCTCACTGCTGCCAATCTTAAACAGAAAATTAAATTTAAGGTTTCAATTCTTAACTGCAATCTGGATATGTTTTGGGACCCCTGGATTAATGGCTTGGCTGTTTCTGATTTAATGTCCCCGTATCATAATGGGTTCTTTTCGATTCAAAACTGTATTTTGGATGGACATTGGGCCATTCCTAGCTCTATACACACTGGTTTATCTCAAATTATCTCTTCCACTCCTATTTTAGATCATCAGGTGGAGTGTATCGAATGGATTGGGGAAGACAAACCGTGTTTTAAATCCTTCAGGAATTTTTACTTTTCTGAGCTTCCCAAAGTTACCTGGGCTAAGTATGTTTGGCATAAGCATTCGGCCCTTAGATATTCTTCTTATGTGTGGTTGGCTGTCAATGATGGGTTAAAATCTGCTGAGGTTCTGAGATTAAGGAATATTCATATTAATAGCATTTGCCACTTATGCTGGAAGGAGGAGGAATCTATTTCCCATATGTTTTTTCTCTGTGATTTCTCTTTTAGGGTTTTATCTGCTCTTCTTCCCTCACTTGTCTGTTTCTTTTTCAGGCCATCTTTGCTTCAAAGTTTTGAATTTTTTGAAGATATGCAACATATAGAAAGGCAAGAAAAAAAAATCTTGTTTTCTTGTTATTTGCTGTTCTGTTTACTTCCTTTGGATAGAAAGAAATGTTAGAAGATTTCAGGGAAGTTTGGAAGACCACAATTACATCTGCAACAAGATTTCAAATGCGATTTATGCTAAGACGAAAGGCTGGAAGGTTTTGATAGAGTGCAACTTAAATATCCTAAATGCTTCCTTCAGTAGCTCCGTTTTTGGTCAGATGGTTTTGCTGGGCAATGATGTCAGGATCCGGTTCTTCAGTCACTTTGCCCCTGGACGGCCTGGGCATTTTTCAGTTTTTCTGCAAGTGGTATGGCATTTTCTGCAGCCTGCATTTTGGTTTGGATCTGCTCTATTGGCAACCGGGGCATATCGTTAATCCGTTGGTTATTTTGGGCTCTGAGCATTAATTTTTCATGCTGTATTGCCTTATTGGACCGGTTCCTATTTCCTGAGCCCGCCTGTGGGTCTTTTTATTCTTCCTTTCTTGCTGTTTTTGTGGGTTTGTGTATACCAATTGGTTTTTCTTTCAGGTTTACAGATTTTGATTTACTGCTGTAATCGTCTTCTTTGGTTTTAATACAAGGGCTTTGCCCCAAATTTACCCAAAAAAAATGTTCACTTAAGTTGATATTAGCAGTTGGTATTGAATTTCTTTTTATTAATATTTTACTTGCAATAGTTTTTTTATTGGTTTCTAAAATAATTTTTTAATATAAAAATTTTTAAGTTTCATTAGAAACATTTTTCTTTTTATTTTCTAAAGTAGCATTTTAGCACAAAATTTTAATTCAAAAAATTTTTGTACTAAAAAATTAATTTAAAAAATAGTAAGAAAGCTATCCTAAATAAAACCTTAGTTTAAAAATTTTTATACTTAAACTCATCTTTAGAAAGCAATAAAAAAATTATCTGAAATGAAGCTTAAATCCGTATAAAAGTATTCCAGGTTTGTATTGTTGGATTGTTCCGTTCTGAATGATATCTTCACCACCAACATTTTCTGAATTGAATGCTTCATCTTTCATTTAACTTTTTTGTTCAATATACTGTTAGAAAAAGCCTTATGTTACGTAGATTTTAGACATTAAGGCTTCATTTGAAACAGTTTTTTTGCTGCTTATTAAAGCATTTTTTTAATACAAAAATTAAATTTTTTATACTAAAAAACTGCTTTAAGAAACAGTAATAAACTATTCCAAACAAAGCCTAAGAGTTTATTTGGGACTGGTGGAGCTTTTTATGAAGGTGGTTGTTATAAAGCTATTACCGATAAAATAATTTATTTGAAAGTTGTTGTAAAAAATAACTTCCTTGCACATAAGTTGCTTGAAAAAAATGAAAAAAATAATGCCCAAACAGAAAATGTAATTCCAATCTGAAAAATAAAATAGTAAGAAAGTGCATAAGTGCTCACTTCTTAACCATTTTATTTATTGTAGAGATGTACTTTTAATTACTAAATCCATAGATTTTTTATTATTATTTGAAATATTAAGAAATTGAATAAGAAAATATTATCTAACGTTATAAACAAATATATGTACATAAAATAAATAATATATCTATTATAATGTAAAAGATAATATCAGTTTATCTGTCTACTAATTCTATGTTAAATTATTTTAATATTGAAGGAAAAAAAAACAAAAAAGAGTAAAGTTTGCCCCCACCTAAAAATATGTGTCAATAAATAATCCAGCCTAATAACCCGATCCAACCCAATTAAAAAAAATTAAGTTATGGCTAACTCGATTAATTTGTAGGTCAAGTTCAAGTTGAAAATATTGGCCCAATTAATTTTCAAGTTGACACAAAAATCTTAATTTTGCCCTCATTATTATTCGAATTCAGGTTAAATGAGTCATTTTCGAGTTAAATATCATATTTGTATATAAATTACTCATATTACCCTAAAAATTGCAACATCTATATGATAAGCGGATCAAATGAGACAGTTTTGAATTGAGATGAATTTGGGTAAAAATATTTGACCCGTATGTTCAAAATTCTTGGGTTTTGGTCAAGATTATTCATGTTGGATAAATTTTAGTTCAAATCCGAACGCAATCCGCCAATCCTAATTAACACCCCCCTCCAGCCCCACCTAAGGATATGCTCTAGAACAAAATTAAAATCATTCAAAATGAAACTCCAATAATTATGCATTCTTATGTAAGGGGTGCATACAATTCCATTTAACCTCATTTCTTCAATAAAAATTCTAATTTGTTTGCTTGCTTCTTAATTCTCAGCACTTCATGTGTTAGTTGCAGTAATTGAGATTTGTTTCAATATAATATGATCGCAAAGCTGGAAGGTTTTACAATAATCGCAAAGCTGCCTACAGCAAAAGGGCTTAGTCAAATACACAATCAAGTGTGGACTGCAACAATGGCAGTGGTTCGTGGATTTTTATTATTATTATTATTTGGAATGGGGTATTCACTCGCAGCCATCCCCGAAAGGACATTTGGCTGCGTGATTAATCCTCGACTGATCTAGAAGGGTCATCCAGCACAGAAACCTTCTGACTCGCACTTGATTGGCCCCTACTTAAGAGGCGCTGCCGCTCGAGGGGAATCGAGCACAGGTTAGGAGGTTCCCAACCGTACTCGCCCATCAACCAAGTCAAACAACGGGGCGCGGACTTGGAGGCGTCGATCACTAGAGGTCAACAACAATAACCAATCAATTGTCAGTAGGATCATCATAGACTGCAGTAGTTGTTTTGCAGGGATTAGCTTCTTTTTTTTTCTTCCTAATAGCAGCAAATGGAAGCTATAGCATCTAAACGTATCTATAATGTTATAAAGCTTATTCCACCATTCATTCCTGTTAGCATATGAAATTTCAGCTATAAAATGGATCAAAGAAAATGTAATCAGTGAAAGAGGATTAAAGAGAGTAGAAGAAACTAGAGTGTTTCATGGTATAGCTGAGAGAAAGAGAAGCGTAGAAGAATAGATAGACGATATATCTTTTCCTTTGTGAGAAGAGAGGGAAGAGGTGATGCTAATGGAGGGAAATCATAAGAAACAGATGGATTTCCCACGGCATGGGGGAGAAACAGCACTGGACATAAGAGGAGGGAAACTTGGCAAGAGAGAGGAGGGAAAGAATAAAGGAATAAGAAAATATTGATTTCAATTTCAACTCATAATTGGATTAATTTAAACATAAGCGCTTAAATCCCTATTTCCATTTAAAATTCAAATTACAAAAGTTCTAAAAATCATGGCACCTAAATTAAAATAAAAATGGCCCTAAAATTAAACTTAAAATTAAAATAAAAAAACTAAAAATAACCTAAAATCTAAAGCTACTAATAAATTGTTAACAAATGTTATAGGTATACTACTTTTGGGATGTCTTAAATTGCATCAAATCTCCTCTCCTGTAAGTAGAATATGGGGGCTTCAATTTCAAATATAGCCATGCATCATATATTTTTTAGGGGTGTCAAAATAGGTCCGTGGGTGGGTTCGGGTCGAACCTGGACTGACTCGGGTTTAAATAGGTTGATCATAATCCGACCCGATTTTACAAACGGGTCAGAAAATTCAACCCGGACCCGACCCGCGCGGGTTGCCAGGTTGACCAAGCACGACCCGCGGACCCGTTAATTTTTTAATTCTGGGTAGCGGGTAACGGGCTAGGGCTAGGCATGCAGGGCAGAGGGCAGAGGGCAGTGGGAGGCCATGTCGAGGTGGGTAGCGGGCTAGGCTGGGCGGCGGGCAACCTGACCGAGGTGGGCAGCTGGCTAGGGCTAGATTGGGCTCTCGTGGTGGACTGGTGGGCGCCGGACTGGACGCGTAGCTTGCGTGCTGAAGACTGAAGGCGAAAATGCCGAGGCGGATGCGTGGGCGAGACCAACTTGAGTCATTCGAGGACTGCCAGTTTTGGATTGGGAATTTGGGCTTAGCCGCTTGGCCGAGAGGCTCGAAACGGACTCCCCACATGGCTGCATGCTAGCCGCTAGGCCGAGTGAGACGGCGGGCAAACCTGGACCCAGGTCAACTTCGGGTTGATTTCGGGTTGTCGGGTCAACTCAAATCCGACCCGATTTTAAAAACCGATCACATTTTTGAACCCGAACCCGACCTATTTGATAAACGGGTTGACCCTAACCCAAAATTTTTCAAGTCGGGTCCAGGTTGGATTTCGGGTCGGGTCAAATATTGACACCCCTAATATTTTTTATATTTGAAGAGTTAATCCCATAGTCAAATCCCAATGGTATAAACACAAACTACATTTCATAGGAGAAAACAGGCAGCAAATTTTGATCTTTCAGAACAACCAATATGTCCAGAGTAGAGAGGAGAGCCATGGAGAGGAGAGATAGAGGAAGAGGAATTGAGAATCTTTCCCATACGGTGAATTGAAAGATATCATATATAAAGATATCTTTAAATAAGACAATTTACACACATCAACCCTTACCCTCACAATTGCAAGATCTCTTACATCAGTTAACACCTATTTTCATATAAAGTTGGGAGATCACTTATTTTTCAAATGTGTTCAAAATGTGAGCTTGGCAATAAATGACAACAAAATATTAGTGGAACGAATAATTGCAATTCACATATTGCTCTCAGAGAGAACTAAGCCTACGGTAGTGATTGGTTGCCCTCTTTGATTTAATGGCTGCACTAAAAATCATAAAAGATGCTGTTCAAAATAAAGGGCCTCTTTTGTTACTTTCTTTCTTCTTAATAAGTGCAATGCAGGCAAAACAAAATAGCATTCTTAATTACAATGCAAGAAGATGCCTCTAGGGTAAAATCATTGCACCTATTCATCAGAAGACGATACTTCAGACTTGGATTGTTCCTCTTGGAGAGATTCCAGATTCATCAATTTTGCTTGGATACCAGCAATCTCCTTCTTGAGTGCTTTAATTTGCATTTCCAGTTGTGAATCTTCACCAATCAATCTTATAACTTCTTTTCTGTTTTTTGTTCTGAATCCTGAATGAACAGTAGTTTCTCCAAAGTCTTTGAAAGCTATAGGGGCAAAATCATCAACTTCCTTCCCATCAAAATCATCAAGAGTTTCCCTGTGCACATTTCCAGCTAAATCAAAAGCAAAGTCTTTTAAATACCGCCTTTTCTTTTCTGTTTTACTCTTCCTAGAAACTTTTGTATTTTGTTTCATCTTCTCCCAACCCTTCACAGATAACTTCAGCTTCTTATGGGTTCCTCCCTGAGTTGTAATTTCTAAGGGCTTTACACCTTTCCTTTTATAAACCTTTTCATTATCATTATTAACTAATGCAAAATCATCTTTATTTTGCAAATCCTCCTCATGAGCCAGAAATTCAACATCCTCACCTGGCTTTTCTAAAACCATTTCCTTCTCTGACTTCTTTGCCATCTTCAAAGGCATAGATGGACCTGCAACTACTCTCACCACATTAGAACAGGTCACCCTGTTGTGTTTCCACCAGACTGAATACCGTGCGGTGACATCCGACTCGTAAAGCCGTGGTGGGGCAAAGAATTTCAACATTCTAGAAGCAGTATCAAAGCTATCCCAGGCTGCTTCCCATGATGAATTAGCTCTTGTTACATTATTTGGTATATCTTGATCCAACCCAAACTGCATGGCCACCCAATGAGGAAGATATTGCTCGATACAATCTAGCCCAACTAGTTCACATGGCCTCAAGCACCTCGCAAAAGACCCAAACTCATCATCAGAACTACCTCCACTGCAAACCCATTCACCCATTTCCTTGTAGAAAGAAGGCATGCACCAACTATCCAGACTAATTGCGTATGGCCGCCACTGGAAACTGTCCGGCAATTCCATAACAGAGATAACAAATGACAGCTCCAACTTCTTAGTAGAATCATGCCACCTTGCCACCCTTGGTTCCCCTGAATTCACATAATTCAGCGCCTCTGGTCTCAGAGCTACAAACCTCTCCCATAGCCACATTTGCAGTATACTAAAAGGAGCCCAAAGAACCAATTGTGCTGCCTCCTGCCCACCACCATTTTTGTGTAGATAATCCTTCAATATGCGCAAGTCCCGGTAAAGACTAGCAAGGACTGCAGTAGCAATGGAGATCCGCACCCCTCGAGAGAGACGGACTGCAATCGGTATCACATATTGCCCCACAATTCCATCGGGATGTCTAGGAAAAACGTACCTTGAAAGCCATAACGAAAGGAAACCAATGTGCTCGAGTTCATCGCCCTCCCTTTCCATGAACTGCCTCGTCCACAAGGTCTGGTCTGCTTTCCGCCATTTAGTTTTGTTGAACTTGCGGTGTTCAGCAATCATAGCCTTTTCCATTTCTAGCAGATCTCCCTCAAATGCCTCTCTTTTCTTTAGGGGTTCTCCTGTAACAGGAAAACCTCCGAGAATCATCACATCTTCTAAGGTTATGGTGGCCTCTGACCACGGGAAGAGGAATGTGTTGGTCTCCTCACACCAGAACGCCGCAGCCCCCAAAATGGAAGATAGTTCTCGCCTAATTTTGTAGGTTGAAGATTTGATTGCATCAAAGATGCCGGATTTTTTCCACAAATCCTCATATATTGGCTGCAATTTGTCAACCCACTTTCCCCATTGACGCTGCGGGCAAGCCCAACCTTTAAAGTGCACTGTCGATGAAGCAAAGGGGGCGACAGAGATTGTTCTTCTCTGAGGAGGAGAGGATAGGGCTTCTTGGATTGCATGTGCGTTTTTCAAGATAGGATTAAGAAAATACCCATTTCTCTTATAGGGCTCTGATGAGCCGGCAAAAGCAACCATTTCCGCCTCTCTTTCTTCCACTAAGCAGAGATCCTTCTTCTCATCTCCCATCTCTTAACGCAAGGCAGTAGTTATACTTGGAATAGGAAGAAATACAGAAGAACAAAGGCGCGATCTGTCGTGCACAACACGGAATTAGGGTTTTCAGAAGGGTTTTGGTTGGGTGTTAGGAGACTAGGGTTACGGATGGAAAACATGAAGAGGTTGCCTTTTCTTCCGCCCTGCAAAATGGTTTATATTCCCACCTGTTAAAAACACCCATTTTTTTGACCTAAATGTTTTAAGATTACAGAAAATGGGGCGGATG